TGAGTGAAGTGGATCAGTGTTGTCAATTCACTTTAATTTGCCTGGAGAAGCCAAATCATGGCAAAATACTATACTTCAGTTGTATCAGTTTGTGTGGACTAACATAATTAAAAAACAATGGGCTGGGTGACTCACACAACAAAAATTTATTGTTTCAGAGTTCTGGACACCAAGGTAAGATCAAACTGGCTGTGGTTTGCTTTTTCCTGAGTCCTAATTTCTTGGCTTCTAGTCAACTACCTCTTGCTGTGACTTCTCATGGTCTTTCTTTGGTGCCCCTCATTTTTGTGTCCTAATCTCCTCTTCTTAAAAGGACACCAACAATACTGGATTAGGGTGTACCTCTTTTACCTTGTTTGCCTCTTTAAAGGTTCTGTCTTCAAATACAGTCACACTGTGATGTACTGGGGTTATGGCTGTAACATGAATTTTTAAGGGAAAACAATTTAGCCCCAAACAAGTCATCTGAAGCAGAACCAAGACTCAAACCTAATCTTTCTAACCTAAGAATATCAATTTGCCTTTGATATACTTTCTTTCCCAGGTTAAATAATCTGGCAGAAGTATATAAATAATCTGGCATGCTCTAATTGGAAGGTAGCTCATGATGATTTAACTATAGCTCAGATAGCTCAGTTAGGTGATTTAATTGATCTAATTACTGAATAAGGAAATGGAGTCCTTGCTTAGAATGATAGAACCCATGGACAACCCCGGGTATTGCCACCCAGTGACCATCACCTGCTCCCCTTTCTTGGATTCCAATCTCTTGCTCTCCTAAACTTCACACCAGCATTACTCAAGCTCTGGAGTGCAAATTTATGCCCCAAGGAAGCAGTTTGATACAAGCTGATGAAAGAGCAATAACCTTGGATCAAGAAACTCCTTGCCTCTTCTTCTGAAAGCAGTTGGAGGGATAAGCTGGTTTTAATGAGTCTTCCCCACTCTTTTCCTCCAATCCTCTTCTCCCTTGCGCCTCCTTTTGACAGCTGTTACCAATTTTAGCAATTTACTTTAGGCAAATTGAAGGCTCCAGGTGACAAAGAGAGTTGACCATACCCTCCTGGAAAATGAGATTTCCCCTGTCCTCCTCCCAGCCCACCATTGCTCCCAGATTGGGTGGTTAGGGCCACAGACACTTCCAGTGTGCACCCGTGACTCTTTCCACTGCACATCTGCACAAGCAAGGCAGGCTTCCTGATCTGCATCCAGCTCTGAAACCCTATCTGAAAGGAGCTCCAGATTATTCCTCACTTCATTCTCAGCTCACTTGTTCTCCTAGGACAGCCACTGAGATTTTTATTTGCACATCTTTTGGAATTAGTACATATTCTGGCTCTTGAAAGTATAGGAAGAGTGGAAAATAGATCACCAACTCCTGAAGAAGTTGGTACAGAACTCAGAGACCAGACAGCTCCATCACATGACCACACTCTGAGTACTTGGAAAGAAGAATGGCTTCCATTAACCTAGTGAAACCATTTATGTAAAAATGAATCCAACACATCAGCGCTGATTCCATGTAACCTTACAAAATAGAAAATGAATCAGTATCATTCAGGTGAAATTTCCTGTCAGTGCTTCCTTAATAAAAATGTAATGTTTTTTTTTTCATTTTATATTCCCTTCTTCAGGTATGGGCCCAAAGGAAGGATGTAGCTAAGTTGCTCCACTTCACTATCAATTGCAGTGTGGATACTAGATATTGGCTGTGAACAAAACTAAGCCCTGCCTTCAGGGAGTTTCCAGTGTAATGAAAGGAGACAAACCTCAGACAGATCTACAAGGAAGGATGTGACAGTGTTATCCTTCAAGAAAAGGAAAAAGGGGGGAAGACGGGCAGACAGACTGTGGGAGAGAGGAGGCGGGAGGGGTAAGGAAGGAAGGAGAGAAAATAGAAGACCACGATGTCAATTTTTTAAAAATAAAATTGACTTCTCCAAAGAGGAAATGCAAATGGCCAACAGGCACATGAAAACTGTTCAACATCACTTGCAATCAGGGAAATGCAAATCAAAACTACCATGAGATACCAACTTACACCAGTGAGAAAGGCACATATTAAAAAACTAGCAACAACAAATGTTGGCGAGGTTGTGGAGAAAAAGGAACTCTCCTGCATTGATGGTGGAAGTGCGAACAGGTCCAATCACTATGGAGAGCTGTGTGGAGATTTCTTGACCTACTAAAGATAGAGCTTCCATATAATCCAGCAATTCCACCCCTAGGTATTTACCCAAAGGACACAGAAACATCAATTCCAAAGGGCACCTGCACCCCTATGTTTATAGCAGCACTGTTTACAATAGCTAAACTATGGAAACAACCCAAATGCCCCCAAATAGATGACTGGATCAAGAAGATGTGGTACATATACACAATGGAATATTACTCAGCAATCAAAAAAGATAAACACATGCAATTTGCAGCAACATGGATGGCGCTGGAAGGGATCCTGCTCAGCGAAATAAGCCAGAAAGAAAAAGAAAAATACCAGATGCTCTCACTCATAGCAGGAATCTAGAAAACCTAAATAAGGGACCAGGAAAAAGAATAACTATAAGAAAGAAAAAATCAAAATCAACAAACAACTATGAACCAGAGACACACTATGGGGGGGGCGGGGAAAGAAGGGATTGGGGTCAAAATAAGGGGGTTGCAACTGTATGGGGAACATAAAAATAAAATTAAAAAACTATATTTTTGTGTCATTCAAAAAAAATTGGAGTAAAAATTTTAAAAAGGAAGAACCAAGGAGAAACGATTTCATCTGAGTGGTATGGCATTAATTAGACAATTTGTTTAGTTCTCACCTCCCCTAATATAGCTCATTTTCAAATCACCAACTTTCTTGAAAAGGAACTATGTTTAAAGTGCATGAAATTACAGCAGCAGTATTATCTGATGTAGGAGTGCCTCCTGTTTTATTTGCGGTTGTTTGGAATAGTGTGCTCGTTCCCTTTGGGAGGGGAGACGATCTCTTCAAAAATTCCAAGAACAAAAATACAGGGGGCCATGGCTCGGGTACCTCTTCAGCCCCTTCCCCTCCCCAGTCCAGTCTTGTTTTCCTAAGCTGTGGTCAGGAATGCGCGGGGCGGGGGGCAGGGTGGCCCTCAGCGCTGAGCCCAGGCAGCCCCAGTCACGGTCCCGGGCTGGCCTTTCACCTCATAGCTCTCCCGGCTGCTCTTATTAAGCAGCAAAATGTTTCAATATGTTGAGCTTTGGGGGAGGGACGCAGAGAAAAATCGGGATATTGTTGAGAAGGAAATAATGAATAACCCTGACGCCAGTCCTCATACCCCCCACGTGGGGAGATGCGGGTGATAAGTGTGCTTTCTCCTGAAATGGAATCCTAGCAATTGCCTTTTGCTCGGGAATCTTCAGAGCCAGCTGGGGGTGGGGAGGGGGAGGTAGGCAGGTACTAAACAAATTTTCTTAGTGCTGGGGACCAAAGTAGTCAGGGATGTGAGTCCCTCGCTCCCCCCCAAACACAACAAAACGAAAGAGGAGGGGGCAGTTTGAGAAATTGAGGCCACTTCTCTAGGTTCTAGGAATTGATATGCTCCCATGTCTACTCTTACCTGTCACCTCGGCTTCCCCCTCCTCATCAACAAGTTCAAGGGCTCTTGTACCTGTGTATTCAAGGCTAGGGCCTCCTCCTGAGCACTTCCTGGAGATCCAGGAGAGGAGTGAGAAGAGAGAGAAACCCACTCGCCAGGGAGGGACCCCAGATGCCTCAGTCAGCAGTGCTCTTTATTTTGTGGAGCACTGATTTGGGGTGGAGCAACTGCAAGACTGAGTGTGAACCCCATTAAGGGCCAGGTCTACAGTGGAAGAAAAGAAAGGAACAATATGCCAAATTTCAAGAAATCACAATTTTTCTTTTTCTTTTTTTATTATTTTTTACATCATTGTTCATTTTTAAACAATATTTGCTTCCCCCCACCCCTCAGGTGTAGTCCCCATAGAGTTTCCTTCACCAATGCACCTATGCACCATCACCTCAGTCCCCTGTGCTGCTCCCTCCCTCCCTCTGATCCCTCCTGCTTCCCTGCAGCATGTCTCTGATTTACAATTGTCCGTTTCTGCTTTGTTGTGTTTTGTACTGTTATTATTTCTTTACACTGATGTGTGTGTGAAAACACAATTTTTAAAAAAGACTTATTTATTTTATGCATACAAAAACTGGGGTACAGGCCAGAGGTGTGGAGGTGAGAGGATTCACCAGAGACAGAGTGGGGAACTAAACAAGCAGATCAACCGCAGTACAATGCTGAGGGGAGCAGCAGGTGAGACAGGAGAGGTCTACTGAGCCATGTGGGTAGCTCCCTGGCCATCTGGGGATTGAACTCGTTCTGCAGTGGCTGCAGACAGCTTCATAGGTTGCTTCTTAACCCCTTGGGCCACCAGGGAGGCCCCAAACACAATTTTGAAGACTCAGAAAGGGTTCCTTAGCAAATGTTTTTAAACGTGTGTGCTGTGCACATGGTGTGTGTGTTTTAAAATTAAAGTCCCATAATAGGGTTGTTTCTCTGACACCAGCAATCCATTTTGCATTTCTATATGCTGCCTAGGAATCACAGGTCAAAAGGAAGTGTGTTCCTAGCAAGGCCCAAAGGAGAAAAAACCTTTTAATAGGAAAGCATTAAGGACTTTAAGATAACAAAGGGGACTTGATCCATAGTATAGAATCCCAAGAAATAATTGTGTGCAGAGCAATGATTTGAACTATATAATCAGCTGGTAGGAGACCTGGGTCTGCATGTCTCCTCCTGGCTTTAGGTAGCTGCATCTTCACATTTTGTGTGTGTGGTTTCTAGGATTCCTTGACATTTCCTAGTAACACAGGGAGGTTTCTGGAAAAGCAGTTAGAGGCAGATGGGTGGCTGCCTATTTGAACAATTCATCAGACAGCAGTTGAAATATTGATAAGAAAACGGAAATCAAATTAAAAGACGGGAAAAGAGAGAGGAAGAGGGAGTGGAGATCCAGAGAGCAGGAGAGAGGCAGCGAAGAAGAAAGCTGAACGCATGAACTGGAGTATTTCCTACAGCCCCCCGGGATGTGCAGGGACTGAGACCATCAGTCTGTATGCTCTGGAAAGAAAGGGAAACTGACTTCAGACAACCAGCACATTTAACTCTGCACTTCCAGGGTTCTGGGGGCTCTGGCCGCATAGAATTTGCACCAAGAACGGAAAACGTCCTGGCGTTGGCGGAGTTGCTCTCCTGCGGGCTTAGGACAGGGTGTCCAAGGTGAGGTTATTTGTGTGGGATCTCTGGGGGTGCTGCCCGGTGCAGGCTCCTCTCTCTGCCTCATGCCTACTCTGGTTTGTAGTTGGGAAATGTAGATTATCTGAAGCTCTTTCTTTCTTATTCTCTTTGGGGGTTTCCCTCCCTCTCTTGGAACTTTCTCGCAGACTTTAAAAGAAAATGGGGGAGATGCTAAAGCAAAGGCACGGGGCAGAGACAGTGACTGGGAATCTGGGTGCCAGCCTGGAGAAATGTACCTTGCCTCTGAACTGGTGTGTGTCTGTTGTGGCTTCAGGAGCCAAAAAGCTGGAATTTGTTAGTAGAGAGAAAAGTGTTTTATCAGAAACATATTGGCTGAGGGAGAAGCTGTGCGCTGCCACGTTAAAGATAAAGTTTTGGAAGAAGGAAGGAAGGGTAGAGGAGAGACAGCCGCCAGACTTGGCAAGGCCGGGAGAGACTCCAGCAGAGGCACCTGGCATCCCAGGGGGTTCTTGCACCCTGCAACCCAAGTATTCAGCATTCAGACATCATGTCTCCTGCCACTGAAAATAAGACATCATTCATTGTCTTTGTCTCTGCCTGGAAAACCTGCTTTCTTTCGGAAGGGTGGAGTATGCTCTGGGAAAAGGACATTCCCAGATCTAAGGAACTTGGAGCCAACCTTCCCCCCTAAACTGTGAACTGGGAGCAGCTAAGCTGCTGACCCTGGCAGAGGCATTGGGGGGAGGTGAAGAGTCAGGCTGAAGGTTTGTGCCCTGAGGGCTGGATCGTTGGCAGCTCTGTGCATATCTGTTTCCTCCGGGCTGGGGTTGCAAAGTGGGGAGACCTCCCTCTGTCCTGAACGGCTCTCTTCTTCAGCCAAGAAGGGCTTCAAATGTAAAGCTACCCGGGTCTGGAGAAGGTGGGGGCATCTGATTACCAGCAGCAGAGGGTTCAGGAGCTATAGGGAAGAGCCCCAAAGGTGTAAGTTGTTCCTCAGTCTTCAAGGATCCTTAGTTTGACATCTGGGAGCAGAGGCACTGAGCAGGCACCTGCTACCTGGGCACTCTGACCCTTCTTCACTGCTCCAGGCAGCCTCTCTTTTGTTCCCCTTATCACCTGCACCCCACCTACTCACCCTTGTTCCACTGGCGAGTGACTGAGATTTTTCCTATCCAGGTTAGTTCTTGGACCTTCTCAACCCTTCCTCAACAATTCAGGATGTTTCAGACAGTCCCCGACACGTCGTCTTACGTCAAGGTAAGACCTGACAGCGTCTTTAAACAGGTAATGATCCCAGCCCCTTGCCTCTCTGGTCTACGGTTCTGTCTTTCTCCCTTTCCCTGGAAAACGGTGCAGGGAGCAGGCTGAGCTCTCAAAAGGTGGTTCTGGAGCTAGGGCCATTGGCCACCAATGGCAGAGATCTTCTGGAATCATTGAAAGAGGAATAACTGAAGCTCTTGGCTGCTTCTATTTGAGAGACTGGAAGCAAGCCGGTGAAACTGGTAACCTCTGTGCAGGGAAGCAGAGACCTGGGGGCCCTTGGAGTAAGGAGAGTTGGGTGCCAATGAGTGGTGAGCTCACACAGCTGGCGCACAGCAGGATCCCCGAGTTATGGGTGGTGTGTATGGGTGTGTGCAAATTAGTTCGCACGTGCGAGCACCCGTGGGAGGGTGTGTGCCAGTGTGAGAGAGATGCGCTCGATAAGGAGTCAGTCCTCAGATCCACCTTCCTTGATCCCAACCGCTCCTTCAGAGCGAAGATTGCTATATTTGACAGCATATGGAAGTTTTTTTTTTTCTTTTCCACAACAGTTCCCAAGAATGTAAATAAACCGAGGCCAGGACATCTGGGTTACACGTTTAATGAAAATCCTGCTGAGGGGCGGGGCCCAGGGCAGGGCGTGGGCAGAGCGTCTTCCCTGGGGTGGGGACAGAGGTGAGGTCTTTCCGCAGCTCAGGCACAACCTTCTTGCCTCCCAAGCAGCCTCACAAAACGGGGGACTTTGGGAGCCTTCCCGGGCACCCAAGGAAAGACTCTCTGCAGTTCTGCAAAGGTGCTCCGCCCTCTCCTTCCCAAACTCCGCCTACCCAGAGCACCCCTCAACCCCACCTTGGAGCTCAGCTCACTCCAGCATCCCAGCTTCTGAGATGGCAAGGCAGTATGGGTCTGTCTAACCCCACGTGGGCACTTCAGTGGGACCCCCCAATTTCCAAGGAGGGCCAATTTTCCCTATCCCCCCCATTCTAGGATTTTTCTAAAGGGGAACCCCTCCCCCAATTCCCAGCGTGACATCCATTTCCCAGTGTGACTTTGGGGAGGCTGGGTGAGGGAGGCTTGACTGGGAAGAGGTGTTTAATCAGCCACTGGGCGGGGGAAGGATGGCTCCCAGGAGGTGCCAGAGAGCGCACAATGAGACTATAGCATGCTTGGGGTCCTGAGTCCAGGTTCCAGCCAGGTTAAGCACACCCACCACTCCCAGTGCACCCAACCCAGCTAAAGGTGTGCTCCTAAATGCCTGTCCCCTACAGCTGCAGTCTTTAACACACACACTCGCACGCACACACACATGCCCCCCAGAGCCTGCACTCATATGGGGACAAGAAGCCTCAGGATGACCTACCCCACAGGGACAAGTGGGAACCCAGGAGCCTGACCCAGGCAGAGTCAGAGAAAAAGCAAAGCTGCCAGGAGAGCTGAGCAGCAGGGTGCTGGGAAGGGGAGGGAAGCAGCAGTCCAGCAGCTGTAGGCCGCCAGAAGAGCTTCTGGCTGCAGGAGCTCTTTTCAAGGGAAAAAAATGGGTTTTTCAACAGCCACAAAGTTTGTATTGTTGCACAAAGGGGTGCATTGATGACGGCGAAAGGTCTACTTGGCAGGGACAATCTTGAGTCTGTTCTGCAGGCTCCCTAAGTCGACCATTTGCCAGAGGGGCATAAACAGTCCTGGGCTGCCAAGCTCCTGCCACTCCAGTCAAGGACCCAACTCTGAGGCTGTTGACAAACACCCCAGGAGCCATGAGCCTAGAGGCCCCCAGAGCCAAGGGTGTCCACCCCACCCATGCAGCCATCGGGACTCTAAGAACCCACAGAGTGTTCAGGGAGGTGCCACAGGAAGTGCTTCAGGCGGGGTAAGAGGCTGGAAAGAGCAAGGGAAATCATGAGCCCCAATAGGTGAATAACCGTGGTAACATTAACATAGCCCTGATCTTTGCCAGGCCCCGTTCTAAGCATTGTATTTGTTCTAATTCATTTAATGACAACCCTAGGAGGTAGTCCATTTGCAGATGAGAAACTCAGGGATGGAGGGGTGGAAAGGGGTGGTAAGGGGTATAGCCAAGACACAGGGCCAAGTTGTGCTAACTGACAGGTAAGCTCTAAACACTCACTTTGTCTTTACTAGAGCCCCGTGAGATAGATTCTAACACCAGTGTATACATGTGGACACTGAGGCACAGAAAGGTTAAGGAGTTTGTTCAAGGCCACACAGCTCGTCAGCAAAGAGATAGAATTCAAACTCAAGTCGCCCAGCCTCCCAAATGAGAGAGAAACTTCAACCAGAACCTTGGACTTGGCAGATACCGAAGCTCCATGTAAATGCTTATGCGCACAAAAAAACGCAAAGTGCTTGTTGATCCCAATGAAGAGCACATCCCTGGAGGCCCCTTTCTTGCCCCACACTATACAGGCAGGGTCCTCCACTTCCCTACTGTTCTGGCTCCCCGACCAACCAGCCCATTCAGTCTATGCAGCATTCTGGGGGAACCACCCCCTAGGAGACCACGGGAGGCTGGTGCCCCCAGAATGTTCAAGCAACACCAGAGCCAGCATCTGCCCCTGAAAGATCCTAAATGGTCCTTTCAGGAGCACGGGTCTCTACTTAGAATGAATGTTGTTGGGAGCAGAGTCTGGGAAGCAGGGAGAGTGGAGAATGTGTAGGCTGAAATTCCCCCTTCGCCCAAGTCCCCCCTGTGGGCAGTGACACTGGGTAAAGGTGCTGACAGCACTGGCTGGTCTCCACGCCTTGTCAGTCTGCCCTCTCTGGTCTGCTTTGGACCCTTGGGATTTCCTCATCGACGCCAAGTGGTCTGGGGACCCGGCCCTGGAGTGCCTCAGGGTTGGGGGCACACAGACCCTCCTCCTCCTCCTCCTCTGCCTTAGGACCCCCGCCCTCCTGCTGCCGCCAAGGCCTCCCACGTAGCATTTTGAACCCTTTTGGCGCTAAGGCAAGAAGGAGCGTGGGGAGCCGGCAGGGTGAGCAGAGGCTCTAAATCTTCCTTCAATCTGTGAGTAGATGAAGGCTGAGAAACAAATTCAAAGCAGGCGCGCCTGCAGAGCCTTCCTGCAGAAATATTCCCCGGCATTCAAGCGCATCCAGGGGCGGCTCGAGCTGCCTTGTTTGGCTAAGGTCAGACGAGACTCGGGTTCTCCAATAAAAATAAATCTCAAATTAATTATGGCCTCGAGCGAGGGGCCAGACACTTGAAGCTGCAGTTGTGCAGTCTGGAGTTTTGGCGCTTGCTTGCCCCATCCCTCCCCCGCGCCCCCTGCCTGGCCCACTCCCCACCCCCTTGCCAGCTCCAATACCCGCCAGGAGGGGCTGGCTAGGAGGGCAGACGCAGGGGGAAAGATCGGCCCAAGACGCTCTGCCAGGCCTGGCATCTTTTAGGGTTTCAAGTGACAGAGTGAACCTGGGTCCCCAGGAATCACAGGGACCTGAATTCTGCTGTGTGTCCTCTCACCCCCAACCCAGTCTGGGACCAAAGAAACCCAGGAAGTCAAGTCTGGAAAGTCTTGACCGGGTCAAAAGGGCTGACATTGAGCTAGCCAAGACACGTTTCACGCCCCTGTGCTGCTGCTTCCCTCCAGAGGGAAGCAGGACTTCCGCATCTTTGAAAATATTGTCAAGTGTTGACCGTGTGAGGCAAGTCATCCCACTAACGTTCCGATGAAAATGGTCCAAATCCAAATGTTTCCTGAATATTTGCCCCCATGTCCATGCCTTCTGTAAGTGACCCTAGACTTAGAAAGGTGTGCTGGGCTGTTGGCTGCTGCCCTTCTGCTGCTGGTAGCTTTTGTTTCAAACGCTGGCTTCCTTTCCTTGTCCCTGAGCTTCCCGGATTCAAAGTCAGTCGGGGCTGGTGAAATGGGCACAGCCCTAGTTCCTGGGCACCAGTCCTGCCCTGTCTGGGAAAGAAAGAGGCAAGACAGCTTCTGGTGAGCCAGAAAGAGGGTGTGTGCAAGTGTGTGGGCTGGGGTAACCAGTCTTTAGCCCAGCCACTGGGAGAAGGGAGAGAGGAAGGTGGGTGAAGATGGGTGGAGGGCAGAGGGCTGAAGATGGGTGGAGAGGGAAGGGGTGGAAAAGCAGAAGGGAGAGTCCTCCCGGCTCCACCAGCTCCAAGACAGTTTTCATTTGTAGCGGGCCTCACCACAGGCTCTCTATCAATTTGTCTCAATGCAAACATTCGAAATATTCTCTTTGGCTGCTCGTGAAAACAATGTGAGCTGCCAGGATCAAACCATCTTTCCAGATGTCTGGTGGTAACCACATTAAACAAGGCAGACTTGTTTACTGTTGTGTTTGGTTAGGGCTCCCCCCCCCCTTTTGGGGCTTAAAAAAGAAGCAGCAGCAGCAGCAGTAGAGCGGAGCTTCAAACCCAGGGTTACATAAGTGGGGCAAGGTTGCCCACCAGCATGTCAACAGGGAATGGAGGGAATCTCAAATTCCCTCCGAGAGCAGTTCAGAGTTGGGGATAGGGGTTCTGCTTTCTGGGTGCAGAACCTTGTGAATAGATAAGGCCTCCTCTTGGAAGGGTTGGTAAATAGCAAAAGGCTTGGTACCAGTGCCAGTCCTGGAGTCACAATGAGAGGGTAGTTGTGCCTATGCCAGCCCCCTTCACAAGAACGAAACTGCAGGACTTTGGTGTAACAGGCAGAAATAAAAAGTGCCACTGGTTCCACAAAGGAGGGTAAGAACTCATTTTAATCTGATTCCCTATTGAGCACTCCCAATGGGAGACAGCTCCCACTGAAAATCCTTGGGGGTGCCAGGGATGTTGGGGTGACTGTACTGATAAATACAGTGAAGACAATCTGTCACTTGTAGGACGCATAGGAGTTGGGAAAAGAATCCTAGCCAACCGTGCTACCTCCGAGGTGGCGCTGAGGTGGCCTTCTGAAGCACTAGCAGTGTGAGCAGAAAGGGGCACAGTGACTGCTCTGGGGGACCATCAACCCCCTCCATCTCCTGTTTGCGCAAAGTAG